ATCCCTGGAAAATGCAGGGCAATGTTCTTCCCTGCTTCTTGGGCTGCAGTACAGTACTTTAGTGTTCTCAGCCCCATGTCTCCAGGGGGGAACCTCCCCTCCCCCACAGGGACCCCCCACTTCCCCAAGTGATCCCACACTCTCCTCTCCTCTGCAGCTGGAGCCAGCGTCATCCCAACGGATGTTCACAAAGTTCTGGATTCACCTCTACCATGGGAGATTACACCTGGCTTTCATTTTCCCCAATCACATGTCACCATTTTAAAAGCACTTTAAAAATATTTAAATAAAAAAAGTAGGTTACACAAATGACATGGGTGGACTGTATCAGTGTCAACATCCTGGCTGAGATATTTCGCTGGTTTTCTAAAATGTTACTATTGGGGAAACATGGTCAATGGGCACACAGGATCTCTCTGTATTATTTCTTACAACTTCAGGTAAATCTACAATTATCTCGATGAAAAGTTCAATTAAAAAAAGCAAAGAACATATTTTATAAGTTTCAAGTGGATAAAGACCAAACAAGAGATCGCCAGTCTTACAAAAGAACCTAGCTTCTCTGGATGCTTCTGGAGTTCCTTGACTCAACAAACACGTATGTCGCTCCTCAGTTACTGGGCCAGGCATCCCAAAGCCTGCGTCAGCCGCTGTTCCCAGAAAACGAAGGGTGAGTGATGAGCGGAAAGTTGAGGTAGGACACCCATCCCTCATTTTCACTTTTTTTTTAAACAGGGGTGAAAATGTTTAGATTCATTGAATACTTGAACTATTTAGGTTAGGACATTGCTCAATTAACAGTTCGTCAGTTTCCAGAGTTCCACCTACCAAGAAAACATAAGGGTGGATTCCCGACCATGAACTCTTACTGTCATTACACACTTAAACGCAGGAGCATCCTTCCATTTGTTCTACTCTCCACCCACTCAGGAGCAAGTTGCTCACGAAGCCAAGAGACAGAATATACTTGGTGTGCTTCAAAATGAGTTAACAAAACCTGTGTGCCTTTTAGCCAGAAAGTTCTAGAGATCTTAATCAAATGTGCTCCTGGCCACAACAATCTTCACTTAACACATCGCTTTGTTTGGCAGCCTTCACTGGTCTAGACCAGAGGTAGCTCTCAAACGGTACAAACAGTCCTTTGAAGACATGGTCCCAGGCTCAGAGTCATCTCAAGGGGCAAAGGTTTACAGGACTGATGGTGTTCCTGGCACATTATCGTTGACTGTACTCATCAAAGTATTTTCAATCTATTATCTCATTTGCTCCTTACAATCCTTTTACATGAAGAAACTCAAGCGAACTCTCTCAAATATTTGTCAATTCTTGGTGACTCAGGATTGACAATTCAAGCCTTTTGTTCAGCCTTTTTCTGGCCTTCTCCTGTCTTTCAGGACATTTTACCACATCTCCACCAGAGAGTAGGCAGTCATTTCAGAGAGAGAATGGGTCTTCTGTCGGAGAGGTAAAGGTGCAGCCCAACCCCATGACTCAATGGGTGACCTTCCATGTAACCTCGCTGAGCCTCGGTCTGTACCTCTGTGAGGGCAACACACCCTCATCAAAGGGCCCAAGGAATGATTAAATGCCACAACCTAGATAGGACTGGTGATGGCTGCTCAGAAGGTTACCTCACTTGTTAAAAGTGGTTTTTAAAGTAATATTGGCTCAGTAGACAATATTGGCTCAGTAGACACAAGAAATCACTACCAAAGTGAAATTTTGGAATTATCAGAGAATTTTCATTACCTGCAAAAACTTGTGAATTCATGGGTAATTGAAGACTACCCATAATCAGTGGCTGCTAAAGAAATGCCCAGATGAGCAAGAGGATTTCTTTTTTATTTTCATTTATCTGAGCTGGTGAAGAAAAGTTGCCCTGTTATCCTTTAATTGCAAATCTACCATTAGAAGCTCTGCATGTCACTAACTCCCACAGAGCTCAGGACTTTATAGGTCTGTTCTCACCAGATTTGCACATTCCTCAGGTATATGCAATGACAGAGTTTAGGGATGATTATTCCCTGCCTCACATCCAGAAGGGCAAGGGAATGAGTACGCTATTTAATCTCACCTTCTACTTAAGATAATTAATTGCTTGATGAACCATACATAAGTGGCCAAATTTCAAAGGATATGAAATATGACAAAATTTATTTTAGGTGAATATATACTGACCATGCCAAAGATTTCATTCTTTTTTTTATGGCTGATTCATATTCCATTGTATATATGCACCATTTCTTCTTTATCCATTCCTCTATTGATGGACACTGAGGTTGCTTCCATATCTTGGCTATTGTAAGTAATACTGCAATGAACATATGGATGTATGCTTACTTTGAAAACATCTCTTGTTAAACTACCCCCAAGCAGCAAAAGGCATTCGAGAACCAGTCCACCTTTGCTGCATTTTTCCAATATCCTTTCTCCCCTTTGTATCTCTGTTGCTTTGATTTCCTATCTGGAAATTAAATTCAGGAAGAAAATGCAGCTTAGCAAACAGGGGCCTTGTGATCTCACAGCTCCTACATTCCTTGTACTACCCTTGAGCATAGTTGTTTAATGCACAACAAACACTTTTCCAAGATTTCCTCGCTTTGCTAATGCTGGAGAATGGGACAGTCACACCATCTCAGACTAGCTTGGGTGACTCCCAGCCAGGCCCAGCAATGTGGTCAAACATCCCTGCAAGGTTACCATAGGTGGTGGAGGGGGAGAGCTCATGCAGTCACAGCCTTCCCTTTCCTTCATCTACTGGGAAGGGAACAGCACATCCCCCTGAGTTCACCTGGGATTCCAAGAGAACAGATCGGCAAAATCCTGAAACAGCCGGTCTTCAAAGATAGCCCACGACTCTTACACAACAAAGAATGGGACAATACAATGGCAAGGCTCCCTCATCACCTTTCTGTGTATTTCCTAAGATGACAATAGATTTTTGGCAACCCCTGGGCATTTCCTTACTTTCTATAGAGTGGGGCTTATTATAATTAAGAAATAAGGATCAGCATTATTCTATACTTTTTTAACCCTTAAAACAAATCTAATTTCTGGTGCTTTCTCAACTAAAACACAAACTTAGGGTTGCTTGCAAATATGCTGGTTCCATGTAAAACTATATTTTGGACTTTGGTTGCCAGGAAAATTCCAGACTCCCTGGTCTGGTACTAGTCTGGGTTGTTATTCCTTCTTATCTAATCAAGACTTAAGATGTTATAAAGTGATTGCTGGGGCCGGGGAGGGGGATCAGTATAAGGGGACTAAGTAGTAATGGGAAAAAAATACAATAAAGATTAAATTAAAAATAAAAAGATGCTGTAGGTTTGCAGATGCAAGAAACACTTTGACCATCACATCTTCCTATGGCTCTGAGCTATGTTTCTCAAATTTCACCAAAATTTAATAGAACCCAAAGAAACAAAGAAGAATCTCTCTTTAAAAACTCATTAAATCGTAGCAACTTAAAAAAATATTCATCTTTCAACTGATCCAGAAAGTATGACAGAGAAATCTGCCAGTGAAGGACCAAACTAACAAAAAAAATAAACATAGGAGAAATGTGTTTCCAATACTCACCTCCTATGGAAATGCCACTGCAGTGCTTTCAGACAACAGCCGTCATAAAAACACGCAGCAAGCAGGGGCTAGGTGGTGTGTGCGCATGTGTGTTTTTCTAGTTTCTGCAGCTGATATGTCATCTTAAATGGACAATTTACCTTTAATCCCTCCCTAAATGGAAAAAATAGATTTATCACAGTAATTCTTGTCCATTTAACAACTGTGATTATAACCACAAGTCATATAGCTAACATTATCCCCAATGTAGCCCTCTGTTGCAAAAACAAACTATGATGATCAAATCGACTTCTTGTTTATTCAACTAAATTTTAGTCTCCTGCTGACAGAGTAGTGGATGCGGGTACAATAGCCTGCCAAAATGTGCTTTTATCTTTATTTGAAACTTAACTGAAATAATAATATTATAGTAAAATGAAATCCTGACAAGTGTAGCAAAAAATTAAAAGTGACAGTTTATTCCACTGTATAATCCTATGTGCAATGGTACTGCTCACAAACCCACCACTAATACACAGAAATATAAATCAGCCATTGACCCACCCCTCTGGCTTCAGAACGGACTCCTCTCACCTCCTGTGGTGGCCCCCGTGGCATGAGCCTTCTCTCCCTCACTCCTCTCCTGTGTGTTGTTGGTTTGCCCCTTCAAAAAACTCCAAGAAAGCCTGGACCCTCAGGCTCCCACCGACAATGAGTGAGAGGGGCAGACCGGCTCAATAAGCATTCACCAACTGAATGGCTGGGCACACTGTCTCAGGTCCTGAGAAAAGAGGTGGCGTAGATGGCCTGACCCTTTCGTGATACATTCAACTAGCTTTACTTTCCACCACCTACTCTTGGTCTACTTCAATGTCAAAGGGCATGCCCACACACATTCACTTTTCTTGGTTGTCTTTTTTCTGGCATGATTCAAAAAGTCGACACTAGTAAAAAATACATGCAGAGGAGTCATTCTGGTACCTACTCAGAATCACTCCATCCCCCTCTGCCCACTACAGAGATGCACTTTTATCAGTTTCTTGTTTACCCTTCAAGTATTTCTTTATGCAAATATAGGCAAATTTACCTTCATATTTTCATATCCCCACCTTTCTCATACAAAGGGTAGCATACTTTATACACTATTCTCCACCTTGCTTCTTTCACTTGACAATGGACATCCTTCCTTATCAGAGCACAAATCTTTGTTATTCTGTGCTAACCACACCACAGCATCCCACTGGACACACCGTCCTTCAACAACTCCCTCACTGACAGAGGGATACTTGGTGGCTCGGATGTTCCGGTGCTGCAGACAAAGCTTCAGTGATAACTTCAAACAAACATCGCTGCTCTGCATGTGCAGGAAAGATCCCCAGAGCAGGACTGCTGAACCTAGAACGTTGCTTCACTCTGCCAGATTCCCCTCTTGTAAACTTGTTAAAAAGTACTGGTAGGTGCTCTAAGGAGGCAATGATACCTGAAATGTATGAGTCTGGTGTCACTAAAATTCTTTCCCTTCTTGTCAAGAGCACTGCTAACCTAATTCTTCACTTTCATAAAACAGAGACTCTTTAAAATCTACATCAACACAACATCCCCAATGTCGGTCAGAGTTCAGCTTCCCTAATCTACTTCTATCCATCAGTGCTTGAGGCTGACCGATTTTCCCGGGAGCAGCCTGTGACTGGGAAACAGGCCCTTGAAAAAAACTCACTCACCACCTGATTTACACAGGTGGAATGACATTTTTATAAGAGTATTCAGGGATTCTAAATCAGCAGCAAATATATTTTTTAATCACAATACCCAAAGTGGCATGAAAGAAATATATACATGAATATTTTAAAACCTTACTCATTTTAACTAAGGGGCCCCTCCCACAAAACTAGTTTATATTCTCAGAGCTTTTATTAATTCATGACTTTTTTCGCAGTGAGAATCTGAAATTACAAAATGATGTCTATTTTCAGAATTAATAAAAAGGTTATTTTCCTACCCCTTCTACAGAAGGCATGAAGAAAAAACATACTTTCACATGGGAACCTTGGCTTTCAGAAAATTGACCCTCTGGCTTAGAATATTTATTATAGTCAAGGAGCACAAAAGCAATAATCTGCCTTTGTACCAGCATGGATTTGCTAAATATAAGTCACACTAAACCGAATTCATTCCTTTGTGTAATATAGTTTTACATAACACCTTCAATTTACTTTAAAAACCATTTTACAGAGACAGTCTGGTATTCTCCATGTGATAGTGAATGTAAACTTCAGTTCTAGGAATAGTTAGTTACCCTAATCAGTAACATACTCCATCCATCAAAGCCATGCACAGGAATGTTTCTAGCTGCTTCATTCATAATAGCCCCAAACTGTAAACAATCAAAAGTCCATCGCATATAGAACAGATAGCTAAATTTCATGTTAAAAAGATACGGCAAAACAATGTGAAAAAATGAACAGCTTCTATATGCAACAACATGAAAAAATCTCACAAAATGTATGATTCCATTTAACTGAATTCAAACCAAGGAAAACTGATCTATGGTAATTAGTAAGGCCAGAATAGTGATTACCTTTGGTAGGGGGTATTTTGACCACGAAAGAGTAGCAGGGAACCTTCTAGGGCAGGGGTCCCCAACCCCTGGGCCGCAAACCAAGACCAGTCTACGGCCTGTTAAAAACTGGGCTGCAAGCAAAGCTCGCACAAGCGCCGCCTCCTGCCCACCGCCCCCAACCCCAGTCTTCCATGAAACCAGTGCTAATGACAAAATGGTTGGGGACTGCTGTTCAAGGGCACTGGGAAGGTTGTACATGTTGATCTATGTAGTCATTTTATGAGTTAAAAAAATGTTGAGACTTGTGAATTTACTCTACATAAGTTACATCTCAACATCTTGAGCTGGTCAGCTAGCGGCCTAACCAAGAAGTCCTTAAGTCAGCAGTAGGAACTCAAAATGCTTTTATCTATATTTCAATAATGCCAGATACTCCGCTAGCTATCAGAAATGATTGTCAGAAATGTTTTCCCTCCCTTGGTGAAATTAGGAACTTGTTAATAACTATCTTGATAAGTGTTAAGAATGTGGTAAAGCATTTCAGATACTCCCTATCCTTGAACAGACAGGTCTAAGAACCCACCCAGAAAGGCCTATACCTGAGACCGGATTATGAAAAATATCCGGCCATTGGTTTGCAGTCCTGGCTGCCTGACGCCTAGCATAAGGGTGATGGAACTCTGCCTTTGGAATACTGGCAGATTTGCCTCAAGCAAAGCATTCCTCCCAAGTGGTAGTCAGAGCACCAAAGAAGCACAGAGTGGGGGCTTCAGGTGTCAGAACAGAACATGGCCTGGACTCTGCCTGACTACTGATACACAGTTGTTTAACAAATGCCAGCTACCAAATTTGCTCTGCAGCTTGTCCTCATTTTAACCTGGGAGTGAGGCTGTGAGAGAATACCTAACCCTCACTCACCTGCAACCTTTTTGTGGCTACCATTACTGACCATAAAAATAAGAGTGTGTATGACTCCTCTGGCTTAGTTCCGCTCCAAACAGGTTTGTAGACTGTCACAGCATGGAAATATGCAGACATATATACCATAAGGTGACAAACTCCCACATGGTGTCCTTTGGACTAAAATGAAAAATGGGACTAGAGGTGAGAAAAGTTGGATAGATAAGTGAATGACCCAAAGAAATAAGCCAACCGGGGGAAGCAAGACTTATATAGAGATAGATAGGATATAATCATCACGTTTGTAGACAACCCAAAATTAAAGCAGATGAAAGACTCAGCTTTCCAAAAGATCTTGACAGGCTGGTTTAGTGGACAGGATCTAGCAAGATTAAATGTATAGTCAGTGCACACAAATTAACTACTCAGGACGAAAGAATCAAGGCCCAACAATAAAATGTGTTACATTTTTAACACATTCAAGTGGCTGCATTTAAACTTTAGGGGATTTAGATAATAAATTCAGGTTCGATGTGAGTCACCACAATGAGGTGAAGTGTTATGGTCACTAAAAGTGTAATGTATATATTGTACTTCAATTAAAAGGTTACTTTAAAAAGATGTACTGTAAACAGATGTGCGTACACTCATGTTCATATTGGTATTATTCACAATAGCGAAAAGTGGACACCACCCAATGCTCAGTGACGGATGAATGGATTTTTTAAAATGTAATATATCCATACAATGGAATATTATTTAGTGTCAAAAAGGGAGGAAATTCTGACACATGCCACAATGTGTATGAACTTTGAAGACATTGTGCTAAGTAAAATGAGCAAGTCATGAAAAGACAAATATTGTACGATTCCACTTATATGAGGTAACCAGAGTTAGTAAAATTCACAAACAGAAAGTATAATGGTGGTTACCTGGGGTTAGTTACCATGGGCCATTAATGGGTACAGAGTTTCAACTGGGGAAAGTGAAAATGTTCTGGGAAATTGGTGCTGGTGCAATGTGAATGCCCTTAATGCCATTAAACGTACACCGAAAAGTGGCTAAAATGGAAAATTTGGGTATGTATATTTTATAATTATTTTAACTGTCAAAAATGTAATATAATCTTCTGTTATATTAATCTGAACAAAAATCATTGTTCTGCTCCATGCTTTACTTTCAGAACATGCCTGAAAACAAAGTATGGTTTCTGTACTTTGTAAGGAATCAACAAACACTGCCTACCCAACCCACCTGCTCTACCCGCCCCAGGTTCCTCCTTCCCTACCTCACCAACTTGTTAATGGGACCCGGATGGCTCATTCCAAGCCTCTCCTCCTTCAACGAGGGGACTATTGGCCACTTGGGGAAAAAAGGAGGCTCCCAAAACAAGTACTGCCTCAGGTCCCCGGCATCTCTGTCTTGGTTCCCAGGATCCAGGGCAGAAGGTCTGTCGGCCAGAGGATCTGACTTCCAGGACCCTCAGGTTATGAACACCCCTTCAGAGAAGCCAAATTCCTCTAGGTAATAAATCTTCCTTACACGCCCCCATCCGTAAGTCTTCGCCTCCCTCCAAAGGCAAACAAATGATTGCTATATTCATTTATTCAACCAATATTCAGAGTTTGGGGGAAATTTTGAGTATGTATTTTTTTAGGGATTAATCTATTCAAGGACTGTATATCATATAAATGACAATATTTATGGAATACTACTACTCTCAGAACTTACCCCATTTCCCTTACTCCTCCAAATAAATGAGTCTATGAAGCAAAGACAGAGGAGACCACAAGACACCCATGACACCACGGAATGCCATGCCCCAAGAGAAAGGTGACCATAAAGTAGGGAGAGTCACTCTACACTCCTGATCTCCTTTTCTCTGTGGCTGCACCTCCACGTGTCCCCTACTCCTCTCCTCCCTTCCATGGGCAGGAGGCAGGCAGGAAGAGGGACTTATCTGGCTGACCAGGAGGGGTGAACACTCAGCCTCTTCTTCCCTTCTCTTGAGAATCTTCTGGAAGCCCACCTACCGCTTCTTTCCCCAATGCCTCCCACCAGGAGAAGAGGCCCACGGTGGAACAGCAGTCACTGTCTAACTCAGAGCTGCAGAATTAGGAAGTCCTTTATTGTTAAATACCAGAGTCCTCCGATTTAACTTTTATTAGGAATAAACTTTATATTTTGGTCTCCACCTGCCAGAACGCTCAGCCCTACTTCCCAACTGATTCAGAGGTCAGGTGGGAAAGGGCCTCGTTCTTCACACACCTAACAAGGTGGCAGGTTGGGAAGGCCAAAAAGCTGGGAAGGGACTTCATGGGGCAACTGCTTCATGCAGAGAATGTGCCAATCACCGTGACCTCTGGGGCTGGGGGCACTAAGCAGTCAGTGCATGACCTTTTCATTCCTTCATTCTGGAACAATGAAAGTTTTCTTAGACAGGTAACCTCAGATCCAGCATGTAGTATCTTTGAATAAAAAACCAGAGTCTCAACTAACTAACTAAATAAATAAATAAACAAACAAACAAATAAATAAATAAATAATAAAAGGGACTGGCAAAGTCCTTGTGTTTAACTCTAACTAGTATTATGAAATTTGTGGAGCATATAAAACTCGAGCCCAAAACCTGTTAGGCCTAAAACTCACTCACTCTCTCTCTCTCTGGAGAGAGTACAGTTTATCTCACTGGTGCTGATGCCAGGGCTGACCAACCCATGAGACAAGCCCACTGGGAGGCACCTCCAACCCACCTGGATTGGTTCCAGGAACCAAATCAAGAATTTCCATTTCATCTTGCTATAGAGCCATAGTTTATGTCTATAATATTTGAATTCTCTTCCTCCAAGAACAAGAGATAAATGAATACAATCAGAGCAGCACTTCCTAGAGGTTGTAGTCATAAAACTTTCATGCTTCCCTGAGCCTCAGAGATCATTTATTATTTCTGCACATGAAGTGAATACAGCAACATAAAGTAAGTTCAGTGCATGACCTGGCCAGAACCAGGGAACCTGAATATGAATGGTATATTACAGGAAATTAAAAATTGTTATTAATTGTGTTAGTTGTGATAATGTTATTATGGTTGTATAAGGAAACTTCTT